TTCAAAAAGTTTAAATTTTTAACTAAATTCTGAACTATTTGAAATCAAATATTTGTTAATAATTGAGATTATTAGAATTTTAAAGATCTCTATAATTCGCTGATTTCAGAATTCCAAATTTCATGAAAATTCATCAAACTATTCCTAGAAGCAGCCAATTTTTAAGAGCCTCCCGAACCTTTAACTTTAAGCCTAAACATCTCAGTTCCTGTAAGAGATATTAAAATTTTGTCAATTGATAAAATGTTTCTGATTATGTGATAAACATTTTATCAGTTGACAACTTTTTTGTAGCTTTCACAAAAAATGAGATATACGGGCTCAAAGTTTGGGGTGCCCCTATTACAGGTTCAAAGGTACTTCGATTACAGTAACTAAAAGGCGGGAAAAAGGCAATTTTTCAAAATCTTTAAGCTAGAAAAAATCAATAGTGCGCTCTCAAATCCGGGGATCCAGACAAACTTTCTCAACCCTAATCTCACAATCCAAGATTAACATGCACCACTAGTTTCAAATGGATTAGATACGAAAAGTTTAATCCTCTTCCTTCAGATATTATACTACTTTTTACCCCAATTATTGTGAAATTAAAAAGAAACTGTCCAGTTCAAAAAAAAGTGATAATGTGTTATCTCTTATCACTCCTCTTCCCCTCCTAGTCATCTCCTTTTTTTGGGATTATAAGAGATAATAGCAGAGGGAATTTTCGGTGGTCGTTTTCTTCATCATCATCTCCTTCTTCTTCTTCTTTTTCTTCTACTTCTTTTCTCCTGCCCCTGGAATATATATCCTATGTGTACATCCTAAGATATGTCTTTGAATGTCTTCCGTCTCTGAAAAAAAGGGGGGAAAATCCACACGGGTTCTCTTCTTGCGTCTTTTTTTTACTATTTACATTTTTTGCCTTATTCTTAAGACTTGAAGAGATGGAGGGAGTTTCTTAAAAAATGGATGGGAACCGGAAATTTCAAATTTCCGGTTCTCTCCTGGCTTCTTGAGAAACTTGAGAAACTTTTTTCCATCGGCGGACCTCTTCAGTTGGAAATGTTTTTCTCCAAAGAGCTAGGAAGTATTTTTTTCCTTTTTTTTGAAAACTTGAGTCTTGATCTGCGTGGGTGCATTTGAAGGGTTCCTAACTTCGATTTTTTTTTGTTGAATTTTGAAATTTTGATAAAAATTAGAATTTCAAAAATTTCAGAAATTCTGGATATTGCGGTTTTGTCTAATCTGTGTTTTTATTATTTGAAAACAATTTTCTAGTATTTTTCGTACCCTATAAATCATTTTTGTAGTCTCATAAAGACTCTAAAATATGAAAAATCATCTGTTCCAGTAGATTATGATTTATCCAACTTTTTTGAAATTTTGCGATTTTTTGAAAATAAAAATTCCACAACAATTTTTTACAATTTTCGAAAATCCATTTAAAATTCAAAATGTTTTTTTTTTTATTTTGAAAAATTCATTGAAAATCGAAAAATATTTTTTTTGATTCCTACGAATAATTTTAATTTTTTAAAAAATTTTTAATTTTTCAGATTTTCAGTAATATTTATATTTTTAGTAATTTTGCAAAATTTCAACTTTCAGAAAAAAATGTTTTATTATTAAATTTTTTAACTTCAAGTTTTGAAAAAAATTCAAAACACTTTTTTTGTGATTTTTCAAAAATTCTTTTTAAGATTCAAAAAAAAAATTCAAAAATCCTTTAAAATTCCTCAAAATGTCAAAAAAATGTTTTTTCGATTTTTAAAAAATCTTTGAAAACTCCTTATTCTTCCAATTTTTAAGAAGATTTTTTTCTATTTTTTTTTGTTCCCAAAAATCTGACATTTTCCAAAAAAGAATCCCTTTATTTATACCCATGAACCGGTTCAGATGTGCGCCCCAAAACCAACCAAATCGAATTTCCATGCGTAATAATTTAATTTTTTAGATTTCCAGTGTTTTTTCCCCTAGTATGCTATATAAAAGCTGGAATAAACAAGCCAAAAATTTTAGAGATCTTCCAGAATTCTCTAGAATTTTTTCTTTAAAATTTCACCTGCATTTTTTCCCTCTATAACTTTTTCCCTGATTTGCCACTGACCCAGTGTTATCAGCTGATAAGGAAAAACATCGAAAAGTCAAAAAAAAATTTTTTTTCGGAAATAAAACAAAATGTAATAATAACAAAAACATCGCGGTACAAACACTTGACACTTGAGAGGTGGTGGGGGAAGGGAAATATTTTATGACTTATTTACCATTATGTATCAGGTGCTAGTACATAGGGGGGGGGACATTTGGCATATAGTCTATTTTTTGTGATATTATAAAAACCGTAGATCAATGAATTTTTTTGAAGAAGTACGTCATTAGGAACGATTAGTGCAACAGTCGTAAACGGAAGAATCAAAAAATATGGATTGTATCATAATTTGATTATTATAAAATAAATAAAAACAATGGGTTTTAAGCATTAAAGATCAATACTTCATGATTTTTTATTCAATTTGATATACTCCCTTTCTTATATGCTCCGTTTCTTATTACCGTAAAACCTGTAATAGCAAGGTTCTCTAACCTTTAACTTTGAGCCAATTTATCTCGGTTCCTTCAAAAGATATCAAAAAATGTCAACTGATAAAAAACTTACCATAATATCATCTATATTTTATTAGTTGACACTTTTTCGATATCTTTAATAGGAACTGAGATAAATTGGCTCAAAGTGAAATATGCGGTAATCTCCAATCTCGAATACTATACAGACATCCGTATCAATGACAAAGTGTAGTTTCCTTCTTTTTTCTTGTCACTTGTCTCCTTCGATTTGTCTATTTTCTCTTTTTTTTGCCGGTTTTCTGAAGGGTTTTTGACCGCTCTTGTCCAATTGGATTTCATTGATTACAATAGAAAACTACAAATTTTCATCGTTTTTTTTTACTATGTTAAAGTTCGAGCTCAATTATCTCGGCTCCTATGAAGGATATCAAAAATTTGTCAACTGATAAAATATTGCTGATATTATGATGAACATCATATCTTTGAAAGGAACTGAGAAAAATCGGCTCAAATTTAAAATCTCGAGGGTCCTTGTAGAAATGAGTTAATGAGTTAAGTTGAGACAGCGCAGAAGGCGCAGTCAGAAGGCGTCAGCTGTTTGAAGCGCCGCAGACGCGGCAAACAGGCCGGTTAGAAATGAAATTTCGTCTCTAAATTGGTGTTGGAAATTTAGTTTCAAAGTTTATATTTAAAAAAATTCCGAGACTGAGAAATTTCGAAATTCTAGTTTGACCAAAACAAAGCCCTGATCGCTAAATGTTTTAAATGAAAACAGGTGAAAAAGTGACAAATTTAGTTTCTTAAGTCTTTGACCTTCCAATCTGCTGAAAATTTCAATTTTCTAGAAACCCCTTTCTAAAAGTTTTACCTGGAAATGTTCCTATGATGTCCTAAAATAACATAATCGATTAAAAGAAATCAGCATTATTCACATTAAAACCCTAATTCGAATTTCCGCTTTTTTTTCTGAGAGCTAACATTTTAAGAGCGCATTTTCAGTATTAATATCTGACATCACATTTAGAAGCGTTATTCGGATTTTGGTCATTATTCTAGCGAGCCAATTAAGCACAATTATCTCAATTCCTTTGAAAGATATCAAAAAGGTGTCAACTGCTAAATTGTTAGTCATAATATCACCAACATTTTATCAGTTGACAAATTTTTGATATATCTTAAAGGAACGGAGATAATTAAGCTCTAATTATGAGTGTTATCCTATTTAAAGAAGCCTACCCTGTACTTGTTTTGAGCTCAATTATCTCGGTTCTTATCAAAGATATCAAAAATTTGTCAATTGATAAAATATTGTTGATATTATGATAAACAATTTATTAGTTGACACATTTTTGATATCTGTCATAGGGGTCGAGATAATTGAGCTCAACGTTTTACGGTGTCTAGTTAGACCTATGATCGAAGGATTCCCACACTGTCAACTTTAAGCTAAATTATCTCGGTTCCTAAAAGAGATATGAAAAATCTGTCAACTGATAAAATATTGTTGATATTATGATAAACAATTTATTAGTTGGCAAATTTTTGATATCTGTCATAGGGGCCGAGACAATTGAGCTGAAAGTGAGCGTATTTTGAGAAAATGCGGAATTTTTATCAAAATTTGGTTCTCATTACGAAAAACGTTTTTAGCTCCTTGAAAAAGCCAAAATTTATCCCCAATGTTCATTTTTGACCTACCTGTGTAGTAGTGTCGTATTCAATTACATAACAAGGCACGCCCTGACGTCTTCTTCTTCTTCTTCAACAAAATTTTTGGTCTTCTCTCTTGAATCAGTAGTGATTGGTAATCATTCTCTCTCACTGATTACGTAACGAAAAACAAAATCCCCAATTCCCGACGAAAGAATACAGTTTGTGTTCTCTGCGTCTCTCTCTCTCTCCCTCTTCTGTTTCATCAATTGACGTCCGTCGACGCTCCGTCCGCTGGTCCAATTACAATAACCTGTCCTCCCTCCCCCCTTCAGTCTCAATACCGCAATGTATCTATACATTTTGTGTATTTGTGTATGTGTATGGTTCTGTTGAAAAGGTATCATTTTTTGTGACAGCATTGATTAGAAGGAACAATGGATAGCTTTTTTGACCCTTGGGGAGGTGTAATGTTTTGGGTACAAAGACTTGAAGTAGCTGAGAAGGGACTTGAAATAGAAAATTCGAATTTTTTGGAATGTTTTCCAGGTAATAATCATTAGAACCGTTAGATTTTTCTAGTCATTTCTAGCTAAAAACCAGGCTTCTAGCTCAATTTTGAAGCAAGTTACAAGGTCTCGAAGTTCTCTCTCTCTCTCTCTCTCTCTCTCTCTCTCCTTGCCTCAGCTTCTCTTTTTGAATTCCCGCCTGTCCTCCACTTACTTTTGATCGTTTTTCTCGCAATTTACCGTAATTTATCATCCCAATTACCCTCCCGATTTGCAGTTCGGCTTGGCGTGAGGATGCCATCATCAGACGAATATGATTGCTCCATTGCGGAGCTCAAACTCCTCATGGAGCTTCGAGGAGCCGAGGCGTTGGAGAAAGTGAGCAATTTTCAAATTTTTCGTAAAGTTTAAGTTTTCTAAAGCCTAAAAACGCGAAAAACACACCAGCTTAGAAAAACGGGCTCGACACTTCTAACAAGTTTGAGGTGTAAGTTTAAGCTCAATTATCTCGGTTTCCGTAAAAGATATGAAAAATATGTTAACTGATAAAATGTTTATTATAGTATCAGCAATATTTTATCAGTTGATAGATTTTTCATATCTTTCATCGGAACTGAGAAAAACTGACTCAAAGTTGGTGGTCCTTGAAACCTTTAAAAAAGCGCCAAAGACACGCCAGCCTAGACAAAATCAAAATCTTGTCTTGCCATTTTCTATAGCCACTTGACCTGTTCCGTAAGAAAATTGACCGTATCCGACTTGGTATATCGAAACCGTCAAAAAATTGGTCTCATTTTTTATGTCGTACTTTTTTTTGGTTCAATTGAGGCATAAAAGGGAAAATGGATCAAATTTCCAATTTCGGATTAAAAACCGATTTGAAATTGGATCATTTTCATTGTATTTTAAAAGACTATTAAAAATATTTGAAATCGAATCTATAAAATACCAACAAATTAGGATATTATGATAAATAATTTATCAGTTGACAAAATTTCGATATCTTTTGAAAGAAGCAAGATAAATCCGCTCAAAGTTAGTTTTAGGAGTCAAAGCGCGCGCTCCCAAGGAAGCGACGCAGAGAAGCTAGCGTGTCTCGCTTCTCTGCGTCTCTTTTGGTTTTAAATTAAAACGACTGTATCTGGGGAACCAGTAGAGCTAGAGAATTGATTTTTAGATCATTCGATAGGAAATTTTATTTACCTTGAGTTTGATTTTTTGAGATGAAATTTCAATTTAAAAAATTTTATAATACCAAATTTTTTTTCCAGATAAACAGCACATACAACGGTGTAGAGGGACTGTGTCAAAAGTTGAAAACAGATCCGATCAATGGTCTGCCGAACGATTCGAAAGAATTACAAAATCGGAGAAATGCGTTTGGAAAGAATGAAATCCCACCAGCACCATCAAAGTCCTTCTGGCGGTTAGCTTGGGAAGCTTTACAGGATATCACATTGGTCATTTTATTGGTTGCGGCGTTGGTCTCATTGGGCCTCTCCTTTTATAAACCACCAGCTGAGCATGCCAGTGAGTTTTTTTTCTGAAATTTTTTTGGCTGAAAATTACTAACATTTTAAGAGCGCATTTTTAGTATTAATATCTGACGGATTTCCGTCTATATTCTAGTGAGCCAATTAGGCGCAATTATCTCGGTTTCTGCAACCGATATCAAAAATGTGTCCACTAATAAATTCTTTATCATAATATCAGCAACATTTTATTAGTTGACAGTTTTTATATCTCTTACATGAACTGAGATAATTGAGCTCAAAACATGTATAGGGTAGGCTTCTTCAATTACGGTACCACTTATAATTGGAGCTCAATTATCTCAATTCCTGTGCAAGATATCAAAAATGTGTCAACTGATAAAACACTTCTGATATCATAATAAGCGTTTTATCAGTTGACAACATTTTTATATCTTTGACAGGAACCGAGAAAACCCGGCTCGAAGTTTGAAGTTAGTAAAAATCGGTAAATTAGCGCCGAAGGCGCACCAGTCAGCTGTTTGAAGCGCCAGAGGCGCGGCAAATGGGCTACAATGGAAATTTTATCTTCAAAATTAATAATTTACTTGCAAAAACAAAACGTTTGTGTAGGAAATTTACTAATAGTTGGTCCCTTTTTGATGAAATTTTCAAAACTAGGTTTTTTGTTTTTGTCAGTTTTTATATCAAAAAAATAATAAAATAAAGATAATAAAAAATAAAATAAAGATAATAAAGATAATAAAATAATAAAATAAAGATAATAAAGATAATAAAATTTCCCATCGAATGATTAAAAAATTAGTTCTCTAACTCTCATAGTTCCCTGAATACAGTCATTCTAATTTAAAACCAAAAGAGACGCAGAGAAACACGACGCGCTAACTTCTCTGCGTCTCTTTCTTGGGAGCGCGCGCTTTGACTACCAACCCAATTTTCGGCCGATTTATCTTACTTCTTTCAAAAGATATCAAAATTTTGTCAACTGATAAAACATTATTCAAGCTATGATAAACAGTTTATCAGTTGACCACTTTTTGATATCTCTTATAGTAACTGAGATAATTGAGCTTAAACTTTATGGTGTTTTGAAGCGGAGATGATCTTCAACTTTTTTCAGGCAACGACTCATCAGAATCGGAAGCGGGTTGGATTGAAGGAGTGGCCATTCTTGTAGCCGTTCTTGTAGTAGTCCTCGTCACAGCACTCAACGATTGGACCAAAGAAAAACAATTCAGAGGTAGGCCCCCTATAAACTTCTGAACTTCATTCCTTCCTTCTCAACTTCCAGGTCTCCAATCAAAGATCGAAACTGAGCACAAGTTCTCAGTTATCCGAAATGGTGAGCCCTTGGATATCGTAGTCAATGAGCTTGTCGTCGGAGACATTGCTCGTGTCAAATACGGAGATCTTCTACCAGCAGACGGAATTCTGATCCAATCCAACGATCTTAAAATCGACGAATCCTCTCTCACAGGAGAATCAGATTTGATCAGAAAATCCGAAGAATTCGATCCAGTTCTCCTTTCCGGAACACACGCTATGGAAGGATCCGGAAGATTCTTGGTAACAGCTGTCGGATTAAACAGTCAGACTGGAATCATCATGAGCTTGTTGGGAGCAGCCAAGGAGAAGAAGGAGGATAAGAGAGATGAACCAGCAACACTTACCAACGGAAACGGAGCAGTTCATGGAAATGGGTTGGCTAATGGAATCGAAAAGACAGCAGAGATTGCAGCAGCACCCTCCGATGATGGAGAGGATGTGGGACGAATGACCAAGTCTGTACTTCAATCCAAACTTTCTAACTTGGCTCTTCAAATCGGATATATCGGATCAGTGGTTGCCGCTGCCACCGTATTGATTTTAGTGATCAGACATTGTATCTCCAACTATGCCATTGATGGAAAATCCTTCCAAGTAAGGGTGGGAACTTCTCTGGGCATGCTCTCTGAACTTCTTGACTGTCCCTTGATGTGTTTCTCTTTTCAACCTTAGAAATATTTGAATTCCCTATTTCAGGCAAGTGACATTTCCCACTTTGTCAACTTCATCATCATCGGAGTCACCGTGTTAGTCATTGCTGTTCCAGAGGGTCTTCCATTGGCTATCACCTTGGCTTTGACCTATTCTGTTAAGAAGATGATGAAGGATAATAACTTGGTCCGTCACTTGGACGCTTGTGAGACAATGGGAAATGCCACGTCGATTTGTTCGGATAAGACTGGAACACTCACAACGAATCGGATGACTTGCGTTCAGCAGTTTATCAATAGTGAGTTTATCAGTAGAGAAGCATTTGATTTGAAGGTCGTGAGCTTGTAGCTTAGTTTTAAGCAGAGTTTCAGCCTTGGACGTTAGGCTTTAGAAACATCCCCATCCTCCAGTTCAGCCTGGCCTAGAAATCCCAACTGTTCAAAAACTAGGTCATATTAGGTATCAAAATGTTTGACATGTTCTGCTGATTAGAATGCATTTTTCAAAACTTGAAAATATTGATTTTAAGCCGAGTTACACTCATTTGAAGTTGGTGGCCTAGAAACCCAAAACTAGGCCATTAGACTAAAATGGTCATAACTCGGCTGAAAATTGAGATTTTTGAGTTTTGAAAAATGTTTTGAAACTCAGAAAACAATCCTGATGTGCTGTTATAAAATTTGGCTTAGAATCTTGGCCTAGAATCCCCTATTTTCGGATTTCTCGGCCATCAACTTCAAATGGATGTAACTCGAGTTGGAATAGGTACTTTCAAGTTTTTAAATATGCATTCTAATGAGCCGAACGTGCCAAACATTTTGGCATTTAACATGTCCTAGTTTTTAAAAAGTTTGGATTCCTAGGCCATCATGGAGAAAAGGGAATGCCTACAAAGCGGTCTAGAAACCCAAAACTAGGTCATTAGACTAAAATGGTCATATTTCGGCTCAAAATCGATATTTTTGAGTTTTGAAAAATGTTTTGAAACTCAAAAAACAAGCTTAATTCACTAATATAAAATATGACTCAAAATCGTGGCCTAGAATTACCTATTATCGGGTTTCTAGGCCACCAACTTTAAATTAGTGTAACTCGGCTTAAAATAGGTGTTTTTGAAATCCAATTTTCCATTTCTTTTCAGACGAGTTCTACAAAGGAAATGCTCCAAAATACGAGCAAATGGACCCATCGACCCGCGACTTGCTCTTCAACGGAATCGTCTGCAACAGTGGATACAACTCGACTGTCGTCCCACCAAAGAATCCAGGAGAGCAGCGAGGACAAATCGGAAATAAGACAGAATGCTCACTCCTTGGATTCATTTTGGATTCAGGAAGAAGCTACGAGGACCTCAGAAGACAATTCCCAGAGGAGAAGCTCTACAAGGTTTACACATTCAACAGTTCCAGAAAATCTATGATGACTGTGATCGAGTTGGGAGAGAAGAAGTACCGTATCTATGCCAAAGGAGCCTCTGAGATCATCTTGACTCGATGCAACTACATTTTCGGCAAATCTGGAAAAATCGAACCATTCGGACCAAAAGAGGCCGCTACTATGACCAAGAATGTTATTGAACCTATGGCTTCAGATGGTCTCCGAACTATTGGATTGGCATTCAAGGATCTAGTACCAACTGGAACTAAGAAACACGATTATGAAGAGGAGTACGATGGAGAAATCGATTGGGAAGATGAGGAGAAGGTCAGAGAGGGACAAACAGTTATTGCAGTGATGGGAATCCAGGATCCAGTCAGACCAGAAGTGCCAGCAGCTATTGCCAAGTGTCAAAAGGCTGGAATTACAGTAAGAATGGTCACAGGAGACAATATCAATACAGCTCGTTCCATTGCCACTCAATGTGGAATTATGACCCCTGGAGGAGACTTCTTGGCTCTTGAAGGAAAAGATTTCAATGCTCGTATCCGCGATGCCGATGGAAAGGTCAACCAACAGAAGTTGGATGCAATCTGGCCAAAGCTCAGAGTGTTGGCGAGAGCTCAACCATCGGATAAGTATGTGTTGGTCAAGGGAATTATCGATTCGACTGTCAGCAAGAACAGAGAAGTTGTGGCTGTTACTGGAGATGGTACTAATGATGCACCAGCGTTGAAAAAGGCTGATGTTGGATTTGCTATGGGTGAGTTTTTAGTTTCTAATTTTGAAGTATGTTGGCCTTCAGTTCTGAAAAGTTCCTCAATGCGCCTATTTTGATCCAAAACTTATGAAATTTAGATTTTTGGCATCAGCACCTTATGTGCTTTGAAATGAATATAAACAAGACCTACTTTATCAAATATTGAAAGGACCTAACTCCGCCCATTTTGATCTGATGCTCATAGATTTTATATTTTTCGCATCAGCATCTTATGAGCTTCAAAATGAGTATAAACATGACCTAATTCAGAGAATTTTGACTTTTGTGGCCTGGGACCTAACTCTGCTCATTTTGAACGGATCTTTACAAAAATTTATATTTTTGGCATCAAAATCTCATAAGCTTCAAAATAAGTATAAACATGCCCCACCTCAACGAATCTGGAGGGTTTAGCCCAATCTTGAAAGTCACCGAACTTCGCCCATCTTGATCGGGTTTTTATGAAATTGACATTTTTAGTATCAGCATCTCATGAGCTTTGAAATGAGTATAAACACGACCCATCTTGAATGTTACCCTATGCGTCTTTAAAAGTCATAAATTGATTCCAGGAATCGCCGGAACCGACGTTGCCAAGGAGGCATCCGACATCATCCTCACCGATGACAACTTCTCATCCATCGTCAAAGCCGTCATGTGGGGAAGAAACGTCTACGACTCCATCGCCAAATTCCTTCAATTCCAACTCACTGTCAACGTAGTAGCCGTCACCATCGCCTTCATCGGAGCATGTGCCATCAGTGACTCTCCACTCAAAGCTGTCCAAATGCTCTGGGTAAATCTTATCATGGACACTCTTGCCTCGCTTGCTCTGGCCACTGAAATGCCAACTGAAGACCTCTTGAACCGTAAACCATATGGGCGTACCAAATCGTTGATTTCTCGTACTATGGTTAAGAATATTGTTGGTCATGCCATCTACCAACTTGCTATTCTCTTCGCTATCATGTTCTGGGGAGATAAGCTGATTCCAAATACTCCATCAGGAAGAAATGCTCCATTGGGATCACCACCAAGTGCCCACTTCACAATTATCTTCAATGCATTTGTGCTAATGACGCTGGTCAACGAAATCAACGCCAGAAAGATTCATGGAGAGAGAAATGTCTTCAAGGTGAGTAGTTCTAAATTTACGACATGAATTATAGCATCCTGATTCTAGGGAATCTTCACCAACCCAATCTTCTGTGTCATCTGGATCACCACATTGATCTCTCACATCCTTATCGTCCAATTCGGAGGTCAATGGTTCTCTACTGCTCCCTTGGACATGACCCAATGGATCATCTGCATTGCCTGCGGAATCGGAGAACTCTTCTGGGGACAGGTAGGTCTGAATCTTATCTCTGGATCCGTTTTGCACGTTATGTGTCCCACAGTAGTCACACTCAGTTTCCGCACGGTTTCAGATCATCAATTGCATCCCAGCATCAATCCTTCCCAAATCGTTCCGATTCGGAAAAGGAGACGTGCAACCGACGTCTATCATGCTCTCTGGAGAGTACGATATGCCTAGCACCGCGTCGCAGCTTCCAATGAAGGACGGACAAGTGGTGGATGATAAGCAACGGCCTGGACAGGTTCTCTGGTTGCTCGGATTGACACGATTGCAGACGCAGGTATAGCAATTGGATTTATTTTTGGAATTGATATGGAATTGGCATAAGTCTGGCTGATATGGTAGAGGATTTGGGGGAGAGGAATATGCCGCTTACTGTGGATTTTGTGATTTTTATTTGGAATTTGCAAGATAGAAATGACTGGAAAAGTCATAGAAAGTTAGTGTATGTGTGTGTGTGTGTGAGAGAGCGAGAGAGAGAGAGAGAGAGAGAGAGAGAAACTTTCAAACCGTTGTAACTTGCTTCAAAGTTCAGCTAGAAATCTGGTTTTTGGCCAGAAATGATTAGAAAAGTTTAGCGGTTTCGAATGAACTCAAATTTACAATTTAAAAAGCGAGAGAGTGAGAGAGCGCAGACATACAGCTACTCTAGCTTCTCTGCACTCTCTCATTCGCGCCATTGAATTTCAAACCTTCATAACTTTGCTCCAAATTGTGCTAGAAATCTGGTTCTAGGCTAGAAATGACTAGAAAAAATTATTGGTTCAAATAAACTAAAATTTACAAATTAGAAATTGAGAGTGAGAGAGAGAGAGAGAGAGAGAGAGAGAGAGAGAGAGAAATACGTATACCGCAACTGCTGTAATAAAATGGCCTCCACATTGTCAACTTTGACCTAGTTTATCTCGGTTACTGTAAGAGATATGAAGAATGGGTCAACTGATAAAATGTTAATAATATTATGATAAACAATTTATCAATTGACAACGTTTTCATATTTGACAGGAAACGATATAAATTGGCTCAAGGTTTGGGGACCATTCTATTACAGGTTTTACGGTATGCTAACTTTGAAACCGTTGTAACTTTGTTCAAAATGCCGCTCGAAATCTAGTTTTTGACTGGAAGTTGACAGCAGGACTCAAAATTCGAATAAACTTAAAAATTCCAAAACAATTATAGTTCCTCCACCTCTTCCTCCGCCATATCCCGCCTGTCCTCATTGCTCATTCTCTATCTAAATAGAACTGCACGTGATTTGCCCTTCCTCCATTCAGATTCGCGTCGTGAAAGCCTTCCAATCAGTCAACGACGACTCGCATCCGAATTCTTTGACGACGTCGACCGCCGATCGTCTTCGTGCATCTTACAGGCGATTAAGGATCGCCAGAGAGCTGGAACAACAGAAAAGTTCGTCTGAAACTGAGAATCTAGGGAGCCTAGAAAAGAAGGAACAGTAGAATTAAGAATTTCATTATTTTAGGAAAACACAAATATGAAAACAAGTATAGTCAAGGGGGTCCATCGGAGATTCAGACCTAAAAAATCTGAAATCTCTGAACATATTTTTCTTATCTGTATATATATATATCTAGTTGGATTCTTTTTTTTGTGTGTCTACTTATTATCTATTTATCAATATATATCTATTTATCTATTTATATATATTTTGCATTATAATTTTTATTTTATTCGAAGGTATGTTTTAGAATCGTTTTTGGCAGTTTTCTCTTATCATTTCTCGCCTCTAGTGGTTCACAAAGCACTTCGTGTTTTTTTTAGAAAATATATGGCCTAGTTTTCTTTTTGCTTGAAAAAGTTAGGCCACGAAAAATTGATGATAGGTTTTGATGGAATTTGTTATAACTTGATTCAAAATTGAGCTAGAAAATTGGGCTAGAAATAATTCTCAAGAATTTCTGAATTTCTGAATTCTGAATTTCTGAATTTTTAAATTTTTGAATTTCTGAATTTCTGAATTTCTGAATTTCTGAATTTCTGAATTTCTGAATTTCTGAATTTCTGAATTTCTGAATTCTGAATTTCTGAATTTCTGAATTTTTGAATTTCTGAATTTCTGAATTTTTGAATTTCTGAATTTTTCAATTTTTCCATTTCTGAATTTTTGAATTTCTGAATTTCGGAATTTCTGAATTTGTGAATTTGTGAATTTGTGAATTTCTGAATTTCTGAATTTCTGAATTTCTGAATTTCTGAATTTTTCAATTTTTCAATTTCTGAATTTCTGAATTTCTGAATTTCTGAATTTTTCAATTTTTCAATTTCTGAATTTCTGAATTTCTGGAATTTAAAAAATCTGGAATTTAACGATCTCCAACTTTAACATCCTATAACTGGCTTCAAAATAATCATAGAAACTAGAATTTTGGCTCAAAAGAATTCTAGAAAATTCAATTTTTAAAATGTACATTTCCATCAAAACCTACCATCCCCCTAAATGCCCAAAAAAGCTTTTCCCCCTGCTGTACCCCCCTCTATAACATGTCTCCCCCTCATCTAAACATTTTACAGGGGCTGGTGGCCTACGAGCCGGTGGACAGGTATATTCTACGGAAACAAATGCAAAGGATACATCCGGAATAAGATTTGCTTAATTAATTAATTACTTAATTACTCCCAATTTCCCCCAAAAAACCATATCGCATCCGGTGGCCATCCCAATCCACTTCAAACCATCTCTCTTTCACTTACAGTAATCCCCAAAAACCTAATAATTGTTCTTCCATCAGGGTACTTGTGTCTTGCATCGGTGCTTCAATAAATTTTTTTCTCAAAATTTTAAAATTAAAATTTTGAAAAAAAAAATAATTTCTCAAAAAAAAAAAAATTCCAAATTCTGTCTTCCCAAGTGCCTAAAATGTATATTTCTCCGCCTTAAAACCCAACCAAAAAAACCCCTCAGAATCAATAAAATGATTCGACTTCACCCCCCTCAAAACACACTTCTTGTTTCAAAATTCGGTATTTTCTAAACAGGTGCACATAATTTCATGCCCCGCCCACTTTTGTTCTGATGAATTCTCTTTTTTGACTTTTTGCTCACATAGATTTTGTCTAGATGTTTTTCTTCTCTCTTTATATTTTCCTTTTTATTAAAAAAACTGGATTTTTAATAAAAAATTGAAAAAAAAAACGATGTTCTTAGTGTCTTATATTTTCAGGGCTCCGGGCCTTTGCAGGGCCCTTCGCAGGCCTCGCCATAGTTTCTTTCAGAAACAAGATTTCTAGACCAACTAAATTAGATGTGATAGAACTTGAAAAGTGCTACAAAATGATGTTATTTAAAAAATTGTGTCTTATCTATGAACAAAGTTACAAGTCATAAAGTGACCGGGCCAGGCTTGTTCCCTGTTTTTTGTCTGTAACTTAGCTCATAGACAAGACACAGGTTTCCAAATAATATCATTTTGTAGTACTTGTCAAGTTCTATCATATCCAATTTAGTTGATATGAAAATATTAATTCTAAAAGAAACTATGGCAGATCCCGCGAAGGCCCGGAGACTTTTGAGTTGCCGAGTTCAGACTTTTGAGTGGCAAATTCCATATTTTCAGAATTTTCGTTTTGGATTTTCTTCAAATGAAGTTGCCTGATCTTGGCGTGTTTAAAGGTACAGAAGGTGAGATATTCGCTTTCCATCTAAAATTAGGTGGGGCCGTGAGGGCGAAGGCCAGCCTCCACAAATGGAATTTAAGGATTTCGGAGAAATTCAAAAAGTTCAAAGTACACAATCTCCATTCAGACGATTCGATGGTTTCTCAACCTTTTCCAAAAAAGTTGACGCAACAAAAACTGCTCCGATTCCATAATAAATCCCTTATCTCTGCCCCAGATCTTTCCCCATATAAGCGGAACCCTCTCCAGAAGAATCCAGTTCACTTCTTCTTCTTATTCTCCTCCAACTGCTCTTCAGAAGAAATGAAGCGACCCAAGGAACCGGACAAATCTCCCTTCCCGACGTCTTCAACCACTTGCCATTTCGATCTGTCTCTCTCTCAAAATTCACACTTGCCACCGATCCGACAGATCGAAAGGGATCGAACACTGATGAGCATGAACAAACGACGGCCCGTCCAGAAGATGAAGGGTCTCCAGATGACTTCGCTGGACAGGCACCAATCTCTACCCAATGTGGAGGACTCTGAAACTCTTGGTTATTTGAAAAATAAAGAGATTTTTTAATTTTCTGTTTGTCTATTTTTTAAGCATTTTTTGCTGTCCAGGTGTCGTGTATATCTGTATGCCTGTTTGTCCAGACAATCTGAATTGGAATTCCTACGGAACTACGGAACGGATTCCTACGGAATGCAATGAAACAATACTAATTGCTTCTAACATAACCCCGCCCACCCTATGTATAATTTGAGCTCAATTATATCGGTTCCTATCAGAGGTATTAAAAAGTGGTCAACTGATAAAATATTGGTGATATTATGATAAACATTTTATTAGTTGACACATTTTTGATATCTTTCTCAGGAAACGAGATAATTGAGCTCAAAGTAGACGGTTTGAGTGAGCTTCTATTAGAGCACGTTTCGGTTTGTCAGCATTTTCACTGTCTCTTTTTCAGAAAAAAACAATGGAATCTCTTTCAAAATTTGCATAATTCCAATAGTTTTCAAATTTTTGTATCAGAAGAAATTTTAACATATTGAAATATGTTGTTACCACTTTAACAAGTTTTCTTAAAAGCAAATATATGTAAAACCTGTGATAGAGAGGCCTCCGCACTATAAAGTTTGAACAAGTTTATCATGCTTCCTATGAGAGCTATCAAAAAGTTACCAACTGATAAAATATTGATAATGTTATGGTAAACAATTTGTCAGTTTATCACTTTTTGATATCATTGCTATGAACGTAGATAATTGAGCTCAAAGTTAAGAGGATAGATGCTGTAGATCAGTCTAAACACCCTTCTAACTTGAAGCCAATTTATCTTGGTCTCCGTCAATGATATCAAAAAGTTGTGAACTGATAAAATCTTTATTAGATTAACAGCTACATTTTATCAGTTGATTACTTTTTGATATATCCTACAGTAACCTAGATAAATCGGTTCAAAGTTGACGTCTCTGGAGGGGAGAGGTAGTCTAATACGGTAGTCTAAAGTTGAACATGTCTAAAATTGAAGTGAATGAACAAAATTTCATGGGGTTTTTTACATAAAAGTTTTGGGGATTTTCTCTTTTTCCGTTTCTGGAAAGAATTCCAACGGTTTTTCTCAGGAAAACCCCATGGTAACCCCATAGCACTGGCACCATTCGATATTTTACCAGAAAACCAGCTAGCAGGAGGACCACAAAGGAGTTGCCAGTTAATATTGGTCTCTTAAAAAAAGTGCTGAATAATCGGTCGAGGCTAAATATTAGGTTGGCGGGAAAGTCTTTGTCACTTTTTCAATAGTTTATTTCTCAAAGAAAAAATAACCGAATAATTAATTATATTGTCCATCATTATCAACAACATGTCTCCAACGTTCCCTCAATTTATGGATTCCATTGCGGTAGAATCCAGCCGGGCGTGAGGCAAAGTATTGTTTGAGTGCCGCTTCGACCGCTCCACGGGAATTGAAGCTTCTTCCTTCGAAGGCACGTGTCATATCGCCAAATAACCAATAGTCGGAAGGAGCAAGATCAGGAGAATACGGGGGGTGAGGGAGAACATTCCATCCATATCCCATCAGCTCCTGCTTCACTTGTTTCGAAACATGTGGGCGAGCGTTATCATGTTGATAGTACACTTTCTTGTCTTTCAGGGCCGAACGGTCGACTGCTTTCTTGAGGTTTCGTAGTTGAGTAGTGTAGAGGTCTCCAGTTATTGTTTTGCCCTCGGGCAGAAGTTCCCAGTAGATGGGGCCGTCCACTCCCCACCACACAGAGAGCATAACTTTTTTCGGATGAAGGTCGGGTTTGGGGACATCCTGTGGGCTCTCTCCTTCTCCAACCCACTGGGATTTCCTGTGGTGATTATCGTAGAAGACCCACTTCTCATCTCCGGTTATTAGCCGGTCCAGCCATCGATCGCCCGCGTGGAGAGTGAGAAGAGTAATCGAATCGTCGACTCGGCGGTCAAGGTTGGCTTGAGTCAGGTGATGAGGTATGAATCGACCAAAAAGTTTTCTCATTCCAAGAGACTTCAAACCTTCAAGGACTGTGCTATGGTGAACTCCGAATGTGACAGCTAGTTCACGGCTAGATTGAAATGGATCCGATTGCAATGCGTGCTTCAGCTTGTCCAAATCCAACTCACGGGGTCTCCCAGAGCGATCCTTTTCATCGAGCGAGAAGTCATCTTTTTCGAAACGATGGAACCAATTGCGAATAGTATTGTAGTGAGGGGCATGTGTGTTGTACACATTCTTCAAGAAAGTTTCCGAATCCTTCATCGTGGTGTGAGATAGGAAGAGGTAAATCAAAACATGTCTGATGTGAATAGCAGTGGGAACAAACATATCGTTTCAATTACAGATGAGGAGCAGGGAAGGAAATGGGGACTTGTTTATATGGAAGGTTCTTATCACCTTGTTATTCATAGAGTCGATATCATACACAGCCTCCATATACGAGAACAGTGATTAAACAAACAGAGTGACAAAGACTTTCCCGCCAACCTAATATATAACAAAAGATCTGATGGTTTTTGTAGAGAAAAAAAAACGAGTCAAATAAGAAGCTCCCAACACAAATAATTCATTCAAAAAGAAATACAAAAAGTAGGCTAATTCGATTCTCCCATCTCGATGACCACGTGACTTGTTTAACTGGAAACTTCGGATGAAGAATCACTACCACCAGTTGTTCTCGAAGCACCAGTCTTAGTAGCTCCTTTAGCTACTTGTTTTGCTGCTTCCAATGCTCTCTGTTTAATTACTCGATTGTCTCCTTCATCTTTGTTCGCTTGCTTGTTTTTCTTGTGTTGCAGCATGATTTTAACATCCTCATCGTATGGCTTTTTAGATAGCTTGTATCTCTGAATAAATCATTTGAAATAGTTTTTGAATTTCTTATAAATCATACTCTCATGATACGCAAAAAGACACCCAAAAGGGTCCACACTGACTGAACCGATGCTTGAATTCCACCCCAACGAGAATCACGCATGTAGACCATGGTATCGAGCCAAGAGCTGCCCTTATTGTACAGAACTTCTTCGTAAGCAAACTGCAGTCCAATGAAAGCCATCGTTCTGCCGATACCAGCGGAACAGTGCACAATAATCGGCTTCTGAAATTATTCAAAGTTTCTACAGCATGCGAAATCTGCACTCTTACTTTGCTGTCTTTCACCAAGTCCATCAGAGCCAGAGATGTAACATGATCATCTGGAACCGAACGATCTGGCCAGGCAAGGTATTGGTAGTGGGTGACACGTCTCGTAGTTTTACTGAATATTGCAATTTTAATTAAGGTTTAATTTATTGAAAAACTATTACTTCTCCTTGTGTTTAACCTTCAGAACTCTTTCACACACCGTGTCATCAAGAATCTTCGTCACGGAGTCTGCAGTGATCGTGAATGGTCCAAAGTTGACCTCCACTTTCTTCTTCTTTTCTTTCTCATCGTAGATCGTAGCAGGAAAATACTGAGTGCACTTGTTGATTTTTATCTCATCATCGCTGCACAGCATCACAATAGTCTCCGATGAGTGTTCCGTAACCATATGCCAGAAGTCTGCTTGAGTGTCAACGATGGGAGCCTGAAAGTGTCAATTTTACCACTACTGTATCTTATAAACAAAGCTACCTGTGTTGCAATGAATCGCTTATTCTTTCTAGTCTTCACCCAATTTGCATGAATTCCTTGGGGACAAGCTTTCACTTCAACACGAGTTTTTGGATTGCACCGTGTATCGCTATAGTACCTGAAAAAATTAAAATTAGTCTAAAATTTTAGTCTAAAAAATGGATTAATATTAGAACTCGGTGTCTTAGTTTTTTTTCTGATTCGATTCAAGAATAATTCAAATCATTTCGGTTCAAAATATTGATTCGATTCCCCACCGCTCTTGTCGGAAAGAGCGCAAAAACTTACCGGTGCTTTTCAGGAGTTGGTATTGTATACCCTTGACCCTTCTCGTCTTCAATGAAGCCCTCCATCGCGTTCAAGATCTTAACATGGGCTGCTCTTGCCGTTTTTTCGTTGATCAAACGATTATTGTCGATGAACTTCTGAGCTCTGCGTCGAACGATAAAAAGGAAGATCAGACCAGCTAAACAAGCGACCAACAATATTCCAACACCAGATCCTCCAATAACTGTCATCCTGAAAATATTTTTTTTTCTCAATCTAACAGGTTCAAGACTTACATAGAGATTCCACTTTCAATTTCATTCACTTGAGAGTGCTCCACCGACAAGAATCCCACCAAAAAGTCATGGACCGCCTTGAATGCTGCCGGAGCACTTTGGAATTGAGATTTGTGACTGGAGAACTCGAGATCCAAAGGTACCATTTGGTCCAGTGTCTTCTTACTCTCTTCCAAATCCTCTTTCGTTTTTGGATCAATGGTTGGTTGAGCAATAAGGGTTTCCAGAGCTTTTGACTTCTCGATTGGATTGATTTTAGTATCAGAGATCGTGGAGAGGTCCTTCAGTGGATTACTGTAGTCACCCAATGATTTGGCTTTGGAGACATCGAGTTTCGAATCAAAAGACTTGATACTAGACAGAGACTTCTCCAAAGCATCCATCTCGACTTTATGGTCACCCCATTGATCCTCAACCTCTTTCCTGGATTTTGGACTAGAAATCTTGCGAATCTCAGTCTCCACAGACGGTCCAACACTTTTCAGCTGAGCAACTTGTGGTTCAAGCTCCTTCAACTTGTTGGCATACTGTACAGGGTGGCTGAAAAGTATTGAGACACTTGTTTTTTGTCGTATTTTCAAAAATGGAGTTTCAACAAAAGAACCAGATTTATTTTTTCAACAAATGATAGTAATAGAAAAGATATCAGAGGAGATATTCGAAGTTTGAGCCTTCGGCCTTGATGCACGCCTTCAAACGAGCTGGAACAGAAGCGACGGTGCGCCGGAAGTAGTCATCGTCAAGATCATCCCATGCTTTGAGCAAAGCGGCCTTCAGTGAATCCACATTTGGGTGCGATCGAGCCATCACCTTTTCTTCCAAATATCCCCAAACGGAAAAGTCGAGTGGATTCAGATCGGGCGAGGAAGCGGGCCACATGTCCTTCCCCCAGTAGCCAGGGAAATGAGCGTCGAGAACAGCTTTCGTGGATTTCGAGCCATGGGACGGGGCCCAATCTTGTTGAAGAATGAAGGGTTGCTGGCCAAAGTGGCTAGTGACCCACGGACGTAAAACATCCATCAACACCAACTTTTGGTACACATCCGAGTTGATTTTCACATTTCTATCAATGAAAACCAATGGGACTTTACCTTCCGACGTCAATCCAGCCCACACCATCACTGACTTTGGAAAAAGTCTCTTATTGGCCAGACGACGTTTTGGGGACTTTGCTTCGTCCTTTGACAACAATTGCCGAGCATTCTGTCGGTTCGGAAGCGGCTCAACCGTAAAAATTTTCTCATCAGTCCAAATGACTTCAGAGAGGCGGCGCACCTTGAGTGCGTCGAGCAACTTTTTCGCTTTTTCGAGCCGATTCTTCTTGGACTGTTCTGTGAGTTATTGGCCACGAAGGAGCCGATAACTGTTCAGACCCAAGTCCTTTTTCACAATGGATTGAACCGATTGTCTTGAGATTCCGAGCGATGAAGCCATTTGGTTCATGCTGACCGCATCATTTCGTGTGATTCTCTTCTTGATGATGCCACGAGTCCGGTGAGTGTTGACAGTACGAGGTCTTCCGCTTTTCTTAAGCTCCAACACATGTCCTCGATCTTTCAATTGTTGCACAACTCGATAGACAGTTGCTCTCGGAAGAAGAAGTCTTCGAGCGATGTCACCGGTGGAGATGCCGTCGTTGAACAGCTTGGCAATGGTTTGGCGATGAGGAGAAGCTCGCATAACTTCGTGAAGAGATAAAGTGATGGGAAATGGCTCTAATGTCGGCTTATATACGCTCCCTATTTTCGAAATAATACTTTTCGAAAATACGACTTGGCACGGTGCCAAGATCCATCATAACAAGTGTCTCAATACTTTTCAGCCACCCTGTAGATAGGTCACCGATTGTCCGATCACTTTGGATTTGGCTAGGGAATCTGGCAATTTGTTCAGAGCGTTGGTGGCTTCTTTGGCTTCTTTCTTCATTTCATCTGGAAGTTTCGCAAGATCCGAAAGACTTTTGGATACTTCAGAGACAGAAGACACGGCAGATTCAACGTCGGCAATGTCATCGGAATTCAGGTTTCTTAGCTTTTGAGTGGCCAATACTCCTTGGAAGCTTTCAGATGGTTTATTGTCTTGAAGACGCTTATGCAATTTGATTTCCTTATCAAATTCATTAGGCTTTAAATCTTGTTCGTTTTGCAAAATGTAACCAGCGTCGTCCTTCAACGTCGCGACATCTAAGCCATCGAATTTCGCCTTGAGTTTGGTGATACTTTCTCTTATACTGCTCAGGCCGTTGTCAGTTTTTAACTTTTTCAAAATTTCGGGGATTTGTTTCTCAGAATCACCTTGATTTTTGAAGTTTTTGAAACCAAGAGAGTTGAAAAAAGCATCAAACTCAGCTTTGAAATTTTCCACATTCAAGTCAGTCAGCTGAGTGGCCCGTTTCAAATTCTTGACGCTTTTAATGATTTTTTCGGTTACTTGGAATTTATCCGTAGAAAAACGAAAACCGTAATCAGTAGTACACTGATCTAAACCCTTCCAAATTTTTTCAATTTGCTCTGGAACATTCGATTTGAAGTCCGAAAGCACCTTCTGAATTATCTCCATGTCGGATAAGGACTTTATGACTTTTGAAGAGGAGATAGACTTGAGATGTTGGTCGAGTTTACCCAATCGATCGTTCACTTTAAACAATGGTTGGAATCCATCAGTCAATCCATTCAGAGAACGATCAATTCCAGTGATCTTCCCAATCCAAGGATCTCGAACGTCCGTCATCAATTGTTTGATATCAGACAGGCCATTTGGAAACCCATCCGTGAACTTTTTCTTGTTAGCACTGGGAAGGGATCTACTTTTGGCTAAACTGGCTATGGTGGCAAAATCTTGAATCGAAGCCTGTGAAGTTGAAGAGACCTTTGAAATCTCTTGCAAGTTTGACTTAATTGCGGCTGTACTCTCAGAGGCGTGGAGGGTTTTGAACAACTCGCGACGGCTAATGAGATTGAGCATCTTCTCGATTGGCTCAATAACAGTTAGACCATCTTCAAGTTTAAAGCCTTTCATAGTCTTCAGACCCGCACTGAACTTTGGAACTGCTCCCATGAATTCGGCATTAAATTCTACTAGAGCATTTACCTGACTGTAAGCCTTTCTTTGTAAAGCTGAACTCATTTCAGCGTCAAACAATTTTTCTATTCTTCTTTGTCCTTGAAATTGGAATTTAGAGAAGATTTAATGTCTTTCAAAGATTTGGTGAGAGTAGTGATGGCAGCTGGCTTGAACGTGGCAATCGAAGACACCAAGAGGAACTCGTGAGACTTGTCGGCGGCTGAAATTTTTTATCATTTTAAGAACTTCATAAACTTGGAAGTTCAGAATTTGGAGATTCAGAACTTTAGAACTTCAGAAATTCGGAACTTCTGAACTTTAGAACTTTAGAAGTTCAGAACTTCAGAAATTCGGGACTTCAAAACTTCAAAACTTTAGAAGTTCAAACGTTCAGAAATTCGGGAAAAAAATTAAAAATTCGGAACTTTAGAAATTCGGAACTTCAGAAATTCGGAACTTCAGAACTTTAGAAGTTCAGAACTTCAGACATTCAAAATTTCAGATATTCAAAACTTCAAAACTTCAAAACTTCAGAAATTCGGAAATTCAGAAATTCAGAAATTCGGAACTTCAGAACTTCAGAACTTCAGAACTTCAGAACTTCAAAGCTTCAGAACTTCAAAGCTTCAAAAGTTCAAAAGTTCAAAACTTCAGAATTTCAAAACTTCAAAACTTCAAAACTTCAGAAATTGAGAAATTCGGAACTTCGGAAATCTAGAACTTCAGAACTTCAGAACTTCAAAGCTTCAAAACTTCAGAACTTCAGAACTTCAGAAATTCAAAACTTCAAAACTTCTGAACTTCTGAACTTCAAACGTTCAGAACTTCAAAACTTCAAAATTCAAAAATCCAAAAGTTAGAAAATTTAGAAATTTGGATTACTGTAGTTTTGGTTTTCATACCATTTCGAATCGTTCTGTAGGATGGGCGATTTTGACCGTGGAGAGAGCCAAGAGGACGTGGTTGGAAGTGTATCGAGGCGAGTGAATCTGAAAATTCGAATTTTAGAATTCTGGTAATTTGAAGTTTTGGAATCTTGAAATTTGGAGATATAGGAGAAATTCGGAATACAGCATTTATGGATTACTGTTCCCATACTTACCATTTTGGAGGGCAGTGACGGACGACATATCCGAGAGCAAGTGATGGTTGGGGTAGAAGAAGGACGAGTAGTCCGGAGGGGAGTTGGGGAAATCTTGGATACCAGGGAATGGAGGAGATGGATCTGAAAACGGGAAAATGTTAAGATTTGCAGTATACCATAAAACTACAATGGTACCAAGAAACTACTGTACCATAATGTGACCCCATAGTACTATACTAATTGATCCTATATCCTAAACTGAGTTATGGTACCATAACGCCATGTTACAATAAGACTAGTCGGAGTGCCATAGTATAACAGTACCATAAGATTATCAAGATTCTATAACCGTACTCCATCCTGTACCATAAGTCTACCCTAAAGCTGTGTTATCCTACTACCATGATACCATTATATCATGGACTAGTATTAGGAAAATATGCTTCCTATTATGGTACCATAAGTGAACCATGCCGTTAAAAGTTTCCGAAGAAACTATTGTACCATAGAACCATATTACAATATAAATAGTAAACTAGATACCATGCTACCATACAATGTATCATGAAACTATAATGGTACCATACTACCATACTATTGCACCCCTAGATCCTAGACTACAGTACCATAGAGGCTCTTAACACCACATTGCCATAAAAACCAGATACCATGATACCATGGAATAATACCATAAAACCACAATGCCTACTGTACCATGGTACTACCCCATACTACCATACCTAAATCCTGACTCCTAAAAATCCTGACTGAGCCATGGTACCATAACACGATACCATAAGATCCTGGGTGCCATATCACGATACCATGAGATTTAAGGTACCATAAAACAATACCATAAGTAGCGTTACGGTACCAGAAGACTTCCTAGTTGACTCAGCAATTTTAACTTCCAATTTTAGGATTCTAACTCTACCATCCCAGCCCGCCAGAGCATCCTAATCTTACCGTATCTCGAAGACATCGAATCCGGAAAGTAGTCGTTTTGAGTGCCAGATGGTCCATTGTGAATGACATACGATGGGTAGTTGGGGTGGTCCGTGGCACGAGTACCTTCAAAATTATCGATTGATTTTGAGAACTTTCCAGAATCTTTGGCTTACCGTAGGATCCGTTGATGAGAGCGGACAGGAGAGTGAGCGCCAAAATTTTCATTTTGAAACTGCTACGCTTCCCTGTTTTATCCATTGTTTCGTTCGCTGTTTGAAAACCGCGGAACGCTGGAATTGTTCTAACGCTTTTGATCTTTTTGATTCGATCGATTGTTAGAGAACTGATTGTTCTTGGCGATTCTCAATTCCACATCGACTGTTTTGTGGCGTTTTTTTCTGGGGAAAGTGGTCAGTGGGGCAGATTTGGTCACAAGATTAGAAGGCAAAGGTCACGCGGAAATTAGAATTAAACGTGAAGGAGTTTTGGGTTACTGTACCCTATCACAGGATAACTGTATGCAAACACCTTCTAGATTATGAAACCCAGATTCCAGGAACCCACAAATTCAATTTCTTACTGTATATAAATTGCTCTAAACCTGTAATAGAAGGACCCTCAAGTTTGATTTAATTTATCTTGGGCCCTATGCAAGGTACCAAAAATTTGTCAACTGATAAAATATTTCTGAATTAATGATAAACACTTTGTCAGTTGACAACTTTTTGATATCTTTAACAGGGAATGAGAAAAATTGGCTCAAAGTTAAGAGTAAAGGGGCTCTTCTATTATAGGTTTTACGGTGCATTTTGAGCTTTCTCGACATCTCAGATTTTGATGAAATTTTCAGAATATATCAATGATAACCTATCTAGACACCCCTAAAAATTTTAGAAAAATCTAGCCAGTTTCAGCCGAGTTATTTATATTCGAAGTTTGAGCTTTCTATATCCAGTTGATTTGCATGCTTTACCACAAGCTCCCTCTCAAAACTCCCTGCGAAAAAAAGTTGAGAACGCGACAAACACTTATCCGCTATTCGAATCGAATGCAACTGTCGGCGTCGTGGTGTCGGGGATGTGGTGTCAGTCGCTGTGCGCAATGTCGGGTGTTCGATACTTCTTGGGGTTTTAGTGTTTTTAATCTTTTTTTTTGGTTTTGAGACATTATTGGGTCGTTATTCACTTTTTTTGAGCATTTAAATAAATTTTTCTTTCAACTTTCAGATTTTAAATAAATTTTCAAAATTTCAAATGTTTATTTTCCAATTTTTGAAGCTTTTCCAGCTCCCAATTAGTCTCTGGTCTCAATGTTTTCACGAATTCAAGATCAGAAAAATATTTATGGAATAAAAACACCAAAATTAAAATCCAAATACTGATATCACAAATTCTGAGCAGCGGCTGCGTTCACAGTCGCCGCGAGATCTCCTTTTCCCTCGGCAAGCCGTTGTCGAATAATTGTGGCGACGGCTTTTTGCGTTTTTCGCTCCAACTTTTGCAACTTCGACTCGATGTCTCGCTTCAGATCCCAATCGATTTTTTTCGGAGCCAACATTGCCAAATCCACACTGTCGATGGCTTTCTCGTGAAGGGTGTCCTGGGAAATTGAGGGTTTAGGAGTGAAAATAGTGTAGAAATAGCAGAACATACCTTCAAATGATCTGTGATTTCTCTCTGAACAATGTCCAAATCCATTGCGGCGTTCTGTGTGCCAACCTCCTCATCTGGCTTGTGATTCCGGAATTCTCGCCCGTTTTCGCGATTTTTCTTTGTTGAAGTCTCGCCTTGGTCGTAGTCTTCTTCTCTAGAAAAAAGTGCAGCTTTTTTGAAAAATTTTGGATTTAAAAAACGATTTTTTATCGAAAGCAAGCTTTCGAAAGATTTTCTCACAAATAAAAAACTCACTGCATTTCAACTCCATGAATCTTGGATTTCATCGCTAGTAATCGTCTTTTTCTAGCTTTTGCAGCCGCTTCCAGCGACGTTTCGTGATTGGTAAGGCTCTCGATGTCCTCATCGGAATCGCTCTGATTTTTGTCGGTCATCTGCAACACAAATATATGATTTTTTCATATTTTATTGTAATAAAATCTCGAAAAATCGGTTTTTCTACATCTATCGATTTCCCCCCATGCATTGCAAATAAATATATTATTATTATTATCTAACTCTCAAAGCGAAGAATCAAACGGAAAACGGCAATTTTTAGCACATTCTTAGCGGAAAAACGAAAAAAAAAATAATTTCAAACTTCTCTGTGTCGATTTACGGAGGCAAGGAGGCTGGTCTTGCAGCGGTGTGGGTACGGTGTCACTCGTTTCTCGTGTGCGATTTTCTGTCGGGCGGTGGAGACTTTTCCCGTAAAAAGTCTATTTTTAACGGTTTTTAACGGTTTTCAGCGATTTTTCCAACTTTTCCAGATTTTTTATTAATATTTGTTTTAAAAATACAAAAATTTAAGATTTTTTCCTACTCATAAGTGATTTTTCTGGTCAAAAATGCAGATTTTTGTAGTGTTAGGATGTTTTTAAATTTTTCCGGTTTTGAGAATATATGAGCCTTTTTTATTGTAGATACCTGTCAGACAGCTCTCTCTATTTTCTTATGTTCTTTTGTGATTTTCCTTAAAGTCGTTAGACAACAAACTTTGAATTTTCAGGGTTATCATGCTTCGTCAGAGCGCGGGTACTCTTCAGCTTGTCGGACAAGGCCTTGCCAGTGCCGAACAGGCTCGTGGATTTGCCACTTTGAAGGTAAAAACTAAAAAATCTAGTTTAATATCAGCCAATTATCATTTTTTAGGACATTTCCATCCGTCTGAAGTCGGTCAAGAACATCCAAAAGATCACCAAATCCATGAAGATGGTTGCCGCTGCCAAGTACGCCAAGGCTGAGCGTGACTTGAAGGGAGCCAGAGCTTACGGAGTTGGAGCCAAAGCCTTCTTCGATAACATCGATCCAGTCGCTGATCAAGCAGCACCAACAGAGGAGTCCAAGAAGCAAGTTTTGGTTCTTATCACCTCCGACAGAGGACTTTGCGGAGCTGTGCACAGTTCCATCGTTAAGGAGGCCAAGAGAATCCTTAACGAAGCTGGAGACAAGGATATTCGCGTCGTCGCCATCGGAGACAAGTCTAGAGCTGGTCTTCAACGTGTTTTCGGTAAGAAATGAACACAGAAAAGGAAAATGCTTAAAGGAGGCCAGACACCAAAAAAAAAGTTTTCCTGATATTTTGCATAGAGAACCCCCATGAGGGGTTGAACTCATGACAGGCAGCTCAGGGGTACAGCGCCGCTACCGGCTGAGCTACGGGGGCGCGAAGGCACCTGACGACCGATGGTCTACATAAGCGCGGCGCCCCCCCCCCCCCCCGAACTGTCCCCCGAAATTTTTGCTGTCTCGCCTCCTTTAACTCTCAAAACTATTTTTTCAGCCAAGCACATCATGGTTTCCGGAAACGAAATCGGACGTGCCCCACCAACCTTTGCGGATGCTTCCATCGCTGCCAAGGCTGTCCTCGACTCTGGATTCGACTTTGAGACTGTATAAACTCTATTTTAATGGTTTTCTCAAAAAATTTATTTACAGGGAACTATCATCTTCAACAGATTCAAGTCTGTTGTCTCATACGAGACCTCCAAGCTCCCAATCCTTCCATTGGAGGCTATCAAGGCCAAGGAAGCTCTTACCACCTACGATTCCGTCGACGACGACGTTCTTCAATCGTACTCCGAGTATTCGCTCGCCCAATTGATCTACTACGCTATGAAGGAGTCTGCCACTTCAGAGCAGAGCTCTAGAATGACTGCTATGGACGGAGCATCGAAGAACGCCGGTAAGTTGATTGGGGAATTTATGGAGATGTGATCGAGATGGTGGAATGTGTTGGAAGAAAATTCTCATAGGAAAATATGAGCTAAATCTCCCAGGAAAGATTTACTGAAACGGCAAGAAAAAAACTCGGAAGTTAATTTTTTATTCGATTTTTCATGTTTCCATTAAGCTTTCCGTGCAAAAAATACCAAAAAACTGACTATAGCCGGCTTCCCTATTCAAGCATCCCTTGCTAAAGTCTAAATTTTGAATTCATTTTTCTTCTTCTAGGACTACGCTATGAGCCTCATATTTTAGATGAATAGCCAGGTGGTCAACGCCCCATTAATCCTCTTCCATTTCGATTAGAGCTTATATCTAGTTTACAATTGAAAAGAGCCAGTTAATTCATATAAGGATTAGCAATGTATCGAATAATTACCTTTTTCATAATCTTCCACACATCCACCTGCCTTAATCTAAAGTCTTCTCCATCCCTTATTCCCCTGCCTCACGGTCCCTTACTAGTTTTGAGTCTCCCGCCCCTTATCCTCCTTCCCCCGGTCACACATAATCGATTTGTGTCTGTTTTGCAGGAGAGATGATCGACAAGCTGACATTGGCGTTCAACAGAACTCGTCAAGCAGTTATTACCCGCGAACTTATCGAAATTATCTCCGGAGCGGCTTGCGTCTAAATTAGTCTCCATATTTTGATTGAATGTATCGCTGTCTCGACTCAAGACTCTTCCTTTTCTCTCTCGTTGTTCCTTTTTTTCTTCTTCATTCTATAAAGTTTCCGCTCGCCACCCCGACACAGATTAGATGTTTTAATGATTTATTATTTCTGCCCCATCCCATCCCCACTTTTTGGCCCCTTCTTCTTCTTCGTCGTCCGTTGTTATAGTGATACGTTTCAAGTAAATAGAGTGACACAAAAAGAAAACGAAGAGAAATAAATATGGTTTCCAAATCCCCTCTCTTTTGGAAACGAAACGAGAGTGCAGCATTAAAAAAATCCTCGAGGTGCATCAGCTTATTAGAGAGTGAGAGACGGAGAGAAAAAGAAGAATGTTTTTGTGTGTTCTTGGTAAATTGTGTCCAAAAATTATTTGAGTTCTTCATCATCTTCAACTGCGTGCCGTTTTTGGGAAATTAAACTTTTGAAAATTCAGGAAAACCATGGATCTCGCAACTATAGAACGATTCGCGGAGACGGCGTTGGTAAGGAAAAATCTGAAAATATAGAATTAAAAAATTGAATTTTTTTGATATTCTATTCAAAAATAATAAGAATCGATAGAATTTTCCTAAAGAAAAATGGAAAAAAAGTCTCAAAAATCACCTGAAAAACTTGAAATTTTCAGATTTTCTTATTAAAAAATGGGAAAAAACCTGAAAATTCAACTCAATATTTTTCAGGCGCCACCAAACATGGTGACAACAGAAGCACGCGTTCAGGCGACCGAATTTTTTGGCGATTTGAAGCAAAAACTGGCAATCAACGAGTGTTTGATTCTGATGAGTAAGGAAATGCTGAAAAAATTCCCCTGAAATTCATATTTCGCGCCTTTTCCAGGAGAATCCAAAAACTCATTTGTCCTTTTTCAAATCGGACAAGCCGTTGGCGAGATTGTGTTGAGAGATTGGTCTCTGATTGAAGGACAAGATGCTCAGGTGGCTTATAAGACTCTGCTAGAGTTTGTTGCCACGTCGTTGAGGTGATTAGCTGAAAATTTGGTTGCAAATTGACTGAAAATGGCGAAAAAATGACCAAATATCATAGATTTCAAAGCAAAATCTTCCGATTGGTTTGCTTAATAATTAGCAGACCCATGCCTCGTTGGCTTGCTAATGTTTTCGCAAGCCAAAAACATTAGCAGACCCATGAGATGCAGAGAAAAAGTGGTCTGCTAGTGTTTCCGCACGCTAAAAACATTAGCAGACCACTTTGGCCTGCTAACTATCATAAACATTAGCAGACCCATGAGACGCAGAGAAAAGTGGTCTGCTAGTGTTTCCGCACGCTAAAAACATTAGCAGACCCATGAGATGCAGAGAAAAAGTGGTCTGCTAGTGTTTCCGCACGCTAAAAACATTAGCAGACCCTTGCCACTCTGGCCTGCTAACTATCATAAACATTAGCAGACCCATGAGACGCAGAGAAAAGTGGTCTGCTAATGTTTTTGTCTGTAGGAATAAATAGTAGACCAACGTTTTATCTCCGTCTCGTTGGTCTGCAAATGTTTTTTGCTTGCGAGAACATTAGCAGACCCATTTTTCTCTGCGTCTCGTGGGTCTGCTAATTGTTTTTGGTGTGCGTTATTTTTTCAAAATTTTGAATCATTTTTCCTCGAAACTCACTCCTAAAATGCTCCAATTTCCAGTCTCGAGTCCTACGTCGTCGGAGCATGTCTAAAATCGTCGGCGATGATCATCAAACGTGGAATTTTGGATGGAAAATCTGGAGATCAAGAGGAACTGTATCAATTCATTCATCACATGCTCACTAACGAATCATCGACAGTCCAAGCGGCTGGATGTTTGTTCATTAGTGCCCTGATTGAGCAATTCTCATCAGCATGGAGAAATTCGAAATTTTCAATCACTTGGGATTTTCACTTGCAAGCGAAATCCGTTTTTGAGGTGTGTAGGAAGCTTAAAAGCTGAAATTTGGGCATAAAGTGGCTAAAAATGTCTAAAAACGAATTTTTAAAGTAACTTTTTTTTGATCTGGGAAATTATATTTTCGAAAAATGCATTCCTTTTTTTTGAGATTAAAAACATTTTAATCTAAATTTTCGATTTTTCCAGAACAACGGCCTCCGACGTCTTCTGGAGATGTCTCTGACGACACTCCATGCCCTGTCCAACCAGGATGACATAGTTGGAAACAACTTCACCTATCGCCTCTGTGATCGTTTTCTGGAAGTTTCTGAGAATATTCTCTCGTGGAATTTCTCCAGCAAGCTGTACAGACGATTTCTGAGCAATCATCAGGTAGGACGGATTTTTAGAACCGTCAACTTTGAGATCGATTATCTCGGTTCCTGTAAAAGTTATCAACAGATTGTCCACTGATAAAATGTTCCTTATATTATAATGAACAATTTATCAGTTGACAGATTTTTTATATCTTGCATGGGAGCCGAGATAATTGGCTTCAAAATAACAGGTTATACGGTAAATTATAAAAATCTGGAAATCCAAAAAATCGTCTTGAAAATCAACTTTATTTATTCAAAAAATCTTGTCTACCACATTCCCAAAACCGTCATTAACATGTAACGAGTATAGTAGGCATCGCTAAGCGGCTCGAAATTCAATGCGGTGTTGTTCGTGTACTTTCCGGTGACCGCTTGAATCGCGTTGTAGAGAGCTGTACGTTTTCCGGCGGGACTCTGAAATTGCGATTTTCAAAATTTTCAAGGTCTTTTGGTCTAGAAAGTTCTTCTGGAATCGGAACAAATCAAATAGAATTTCAGCTTTAACGATTTTTTGAATTACCAAAAAATATGCTTTTTGACATTTTTCTATTTAAAAGCCTTGTATTTAGTACTTTAAAAATTTCTAGAAACTCACATGGTAATGACAGTAGGCGTACCACTCGTTCAACGCATCGAAAAACGCGTTATCATGAACCTTATCCGTCTTTGCCCACATATTTTTGTAGGTTTTTGCCACCGACGCATTGAACACCTTAGTCAGGCCAGGTGTCAAATCGTTCCAGAACTTTCCGACAGTATCGCGATGGTCGAGCAAGTTGATCACTCCCGATAGGGCAGTCGAACTCGTTCCGTAGATGTCCAGAGCGGCGAATTTGTGGGTGCCCTGGAAGATCATTGAGCTTTAGAAGGAGGCTTAAGCATTCTTTGAAGATTATAAGTTTTTTAGAAAAGATTTCGACTGGCTGGAAAAATCCGGAAAAATTGCTGAAAATTTGGTCTGCTAATAAGGTCAAAAACTTTAGCAGACCCGCTGTTCTCTGCGTCTCACTGGTCTGCTAATGTTTTTTACGACTTTTCTGTGAGCCTCGCTGGTCTGCTAATTATTTAGCAAACCAAGAAGAAATAATGAGCAAAATCAATTCGTATTCAATTACTGGAGCTCACATTGTGGCCAGATGAGAATTACAGTATACCTCACATCAATTATAATTGTACTAGTACTACTGGCGCCAAGGGATCTCTAGGTTTAGTCGGATTAAACCCGGTTGCATTGAACACACCTTTTTTCGACTGTTTCGATCGACAACGAAAGCTATGTATACCCCCTTTGAGCTCAATTATCTCGGCTCCTCTGAGAGATATCGAAAAACTTTCAACTGATAAAATATTTATCATAATATCAGCTATATTTTATCAGTTGTCGGATTTTTGATATCTCATATAGGAATCGAGATAATCAATATCAAAGCTAGACTTACCATATTTGCTGGAACCCACGTGTTAGCTCTCTTCTTCTTCAACGCCAGTGTGGTGTCCTTGTTGTTCAAGTTGTTCACAAACTGAAATTCTCAATATTCAATAATCCAAACTACAGTAACCCCCTACAGTATTCAACTTGTTCATTGGCGCATACGCCAAGATTTGTGCCATACAACCATAGGTAATTGGGTACTGTGAATCGACAAGCACGGGTGCCAAAATTGAGAATAAGGCCAGGGAACAGACGTGCAGTGGCCGCATAGTTGAGTTAAAATGCGAGATACTGGGATTCGAATTAAAAAAAGGAAAAAAAATTTAGAGGCGGGAGGGGAAGGGGATTAAGGGATTTTGGATTCGAAATAGTTTGATTGTGGTGAAAAGGGACATAGGAGGTTTTTGATCTTTTTTGGGTTGTTCACACTTCATTTTGACAGAATTAACACGACTAAAATGGAATGAAGAGGTCAGACATAGAGAGTACAGTATCAGAAAAGGGGAAGTTTGGAATTTTGGAAGTTTGGAGTACCGGAATTTCAAAAATCCAAATTTTGAAATTCTCGAAAAATTTGAAAAATTGCAAACTTTCGACAAATTTTTGGATATTTCTAGTGTTTCAAAGCCATTTTAAGAGAATTCAGCACTTGAAAACACTTCCAGAACCCTTGAAAACCCATAATTTGAGCTCAAAACTAACTTTTTAAAGAAATTTCTTGGATGGCCGAGTGGGATTTTCGACAAAAAAGTTCGGATCTAGAGGTCGTGGGTTCGAACCCCGCCGGTGGCAAATTGTTTTTTAAAGTTTTTGAAAGGATTTTTAGAAGACAAAAAAGTCCCAATTCCAGATTTTTCGGGTTTTCAAAAATATCGAAAATCTGAAATTTCTAAAAATTCAGAAAATCTCAAAATTCTAAAAATATTCAAACATTTTAAAGAAATTTCGAAAATTCGAAAATCTTTAAAAACTGGAAAACTGAAAGTTCAGAAAATTGGAATCCTGAAAGTCTAAGGAATCTAAAAATTCTAAACATTCTAAAAAACTTGAAAATATGGAAATTCTAAAAATCGGAAAATCTGAATACTCTGGAAATCTGAAAAACCCAAAAAGTTCGAGATTCCAAAAATTGAAAAAAAAATAATTCTGGAAACATCTAAAGTCTGAAAATTTGAAATTTTTGAAAGTTAAAAATTGAAAATTCTACAAATATAGAAATTTTGAAAATCCTGAAAATTCAAAATGAAAAATTAGAAACCTGAAAGTCTAAAAATTTTAAAAGTTCTGAATTCCGAAATATCTAAATTCTGCATAGCAAATCTAAATTATGATTTTCAAAAATTTTTAAAACTTAAAATTTCGATTTTCAGTCCTCCACCTCATTCCGGCCGCCAATCTCCTGGAAGGACCTTCTCGAAAACGACGAATTCTTCACGCTCTTCTTCAAACTCCACTCCAAAATCCGCCACGACGAGAACCTATGCACCAAATCCATGAATTGCCTGATTCAGCTGGCATCGTTGACCGGAGACTGCATGCCAGTGGCCGATCAAGAAGCCTCGTGTAAATACGTTCAAATGTATATCAGTAATCTTTTGGAACTATTCCAACAAGGACCATCCAAATGGGAAACTAATCATTTCTGTATGATTATCAACCGTCTGTTCCTCTATCGTCCATTGACGTCTGTGATGAAGCAGGAGGCGGATCTTCGTTCCAGATTTTTCGCATTTTTGAGAGATTATACCATTCATTTGACGAATCAGGCTATGCAGAAGGCTATTGTGAGTGTTTCCTTTTTTGAAATTTTGAAATTCTAAAATTTTGAAATCCTGAGATTCGGAATTTAGGGAAATCTGGAATTCCGAATATCCAAAAATCCAAAATTCTCTAATTCTGAAAATCTGAAAAACCGGAAAATTTGAAATTTTCAAATTATGAAAATCTGGAATTCTGAAGATCCAAAAATCTCAAATCCTCAAATTCTCAATTTCTGAAAATCTGAAAACCTGGAAATCTGAAATTCTGCAATTCTGAGTTTCCGAAAATCTGAAAACTCGAAATTCTGAAAATCGGAATATCTGTAGTTCTGAAATTAAGAAAATCTGGAATTCTGAACATTCAAAAATCTCAAATTCCCAAATTCTGAAAATCTGAAAACCTGAAAATTTCAAATTCTGATGATTCTGGATTTTTAAAATTTTGAAATTATGAAAATCTGAAAAACCGGAAAATTTGAAAATCTGAAAATCTGAAAGTCTGAAAATCTGAAAACCAAAAAATATGAAAATCTGAAACTAGGAGATTCTGAGATTCCGAAAATCTGAAAATTCGAAATTCTGTAATTCTGAAAATCTGAAAACTTGAAAATCTGAAATTCTAAAGTTTTGAGATTTTGAAATTCTAAAAGTTCGAAATTGTGAAATCTAAGATTCGGAAAATCTGAAAACCTGACAATCTGAGATTCCGAAATTCTGAAAATCTGTAATTCAGAAAATCTGAAATTCAGAAATTCATGAATTGTGAAAATCTAAAGTTTTGAGATTCAAAAATTCTAAAAGTTTGAAATTGTGAATATATAAAAATTCGAATTTCGAAAAATCTGGAATTCTGAAAATCTGAAAATCTGGAATTCAGAAATTCTGAAAATCTGAAAATCTGAAGTTTTGAAATTCTGAGATTTCAGAAATTCAGGTATTAAAAAAATGCGAAATTCTGAAATTCTCGAAAATCAAAATTGTGAAAAGCTGAACCTTTGAGATTCGGAAAGTCTGAAAATTGTAAAAATGTTGGTCGGATTAATTAACCTAATTACGATTTCCAGGGCGAAGCAGAACACGAGGATCACACATCCCTTGCTCTGATCTACGACGCCATCGTGGTCCTTCTTCGTGGTCGCTGGAGAACGTGCTTCGCATCAGAAGAGGAAGCAGACGCTGTGGACAATGAGCTTGTCAAATGGCCAGTCTTGATGATCGTCAACGCCTTCATTCAGAACGTTCTCGCCCCACCGAAAGGATCTCGTCCCGTGGCAAAAGACGAGGATGATGGAGATGACGATTCCGAGGATCGGACGCTATTCCAGGATCTGTTCAACCCTCTAAGTTCGATGATTTGTTATAGTGTTGGAGAATTCATGGAGAATATGGCGACGTAAGTTGTTCAATAGAGCAAACTTGCAACATCGAAACATTCAAATCATTCCAGAAACCTCCATCAATCGCTGGCCGAGTTCACCGGAATGGCTACAGGAACCGTTGACTCGAGCCGTCTTCCCACGTGGCAAGAGGATCAACACTGGCTGATGCTCACTCTCGCCAACTCCCTAGTCGGAGAGGAAATCGATGGAGCGTGCCACGTGTCAGGCGACGTCTTTGACTATACACAGAAGATGTTCCATGCGGGAAGGAAGTTTGACGAGCTCAAAAAGGCTCAATATCTCCAGTTGTGCATCGAACAGCCGACACAGGACAGGCAACAGTACGCGCAGGAGATTGATCCGTTTGTCATGTAAGTTTTTAGCGGAAATTTGAATTTCCGTGCATTTTATCGTAAAATTTGGTGTTGGGCGGTCAAACAACATAATTGACGACAAAATGCACGGAAATTCAATATTCTCATAACCAAAATAAGCTTTCCGAATATAATGAAAGGAAATTTTTGGATTTGAGCGAAAATTCGAATTTCTGTGCATTTTGTCGACAAAAGTGGTGTTTTGCAGCCAAACAACGAATTTGGCGACAAAATACACGGAAATTCAAAGTTCGCATAGTCCAAAACATTTTTCAGCCTAAAAAATTTCAGTATTCGGGTTTTCTCGTGAAAATTCGAATTTCCGTGCATTTTGTCGTCAATTTCGTTGTTTGACCGCGCCGAACACCAAATTTGACGACAAAATGCACGGAAATTCAAAATTCTGGAATTTGAAGCTCTCTATGAGGTCTGTTCAATTATCTTCATAATATTTTTCCAGAATTATGGGAGAGCTGTTCGCCTGGGCTTCCATTGAGCACGACGTCTTCGCCAACGCATCCCGTGAGATGATTAGTCCAGAATTGTGCAGAAGCACATTCCTTTGCCTTAGAAGATTCCTAAATGCGGCCAGTAGCCCTGTGGATTGTGATGTGAGTTTCCTTCCTGTTGATTGACGTCTTCTGCCCAACGTCTTCTAGCCAAAAAATCAATATTTTCAGAAATGGAATGACTACCAAGGAGTGGCGGCGGAGAACCTTCCAGTGATGCCAAAAGCCAAGGAATTCTCAGCCATCCTAGTTCGATTCGTCGTCAAAAAAGTGTTATCAGTGCTCCTGAACTACGGATCCGAGGAGAAACTTTGCCAAGACGCCATCGATTGTCTTCTCAGCCTCGTCGAGTCTCACGCATCTGACATAGCCTCATCTCCAGAATTATTCGAATACCTGAATTCTCTGGACATCGCACGTCTTCCGAATCGCGCGAATCTCATGAAGGCGTTGGTGTTGATTGGAGCGGCGGCGAACGATCAGGAGTTACAGGAGAACATGTTTAAATTGGTAAGGGAGTGGGGGGG